TATGCGATTGCGAATATAGTGTTCTATGTCTTCAATACGTCTAACGCAGGTTGAATCAGAGAGCTGGAGATTTTAATTTCTCCAATTACTTGATTTTTGTTATTGAATTTATGAAATAGTACACTGGAAGCAGTTAAAAACACTCCTTTACTTTTTCTGAATCAGTAAATGGTTTCATATCCTTACTAAGTATACAACAAATTTCATATGATGCCTTTGTTACCGCTGTATCTTGTGACATCACCGCCGACATAACGTTTTGTTGTTGCACCAAAGAACTTTTCAAAGCTGCCAGTTTCTCCCGTCTTACGGTGGATCCTCGAGGAAATATTTGACTAAACGATCCGTGTTTTGTTGTAAAATGGCGATTAATATTATATTTCTTTAATATAACACTTTCACGGCAAATTAAACAAGTTGCTGACCCATGTTTATTTTGCACTACAAAATAGTCAACTTCCCACTGATCTTGAAACAGTCTTCTTCATCGGATATTTTTCATTTTTTTTTAGAAGCCACTCCTGACATGGTGAATAACTATTTTCTCAGTCTTCACCCTCACTACAGACACAGAAATACAACACCCGCACGACACAAGCAAAACAAACGTACTGACTTGTATGCGATCTTAGTCAGGGGGCGGAGCGGCGCACTAATGCGGCCGCGCCAACATAAAAGGTGGAAGCTGGTTCGCGTTGTGTCATTTGAGATTTTATTGCGAAATTTTATTACGGGGAATAGCCTGCCGCGGCACTCAACAAAGCTCGGCGGGCCACAAGTTGAGTACTGCTGGTCTAGCGTAAAGGTGCAATTGCGCCTCGCTCGTGTTGAACTTGAATTCTTAGCCGTACAGACTGAGCGTGCTAAACTAGACATAATACAAAATAAAATACTTAGAGCGATTAGAACTCACCGTGATTTGTGAGGAACTCTCAAATTCAGGAGGATCTGAATGTGAAGGCCATGCATGAACAAACTTTGATCACTTCACATATTTTCTCATATTTTTTTTTCCTTAGAACTTCTTCCTACGCTTCTATTAGAAGACTGTGCGATTATGACCCTACTGTTGAATATGTGGTCAAAAGGCCCCGCACCATACATCACAACCCGTCTTGGTAGTTGTATTTATGTAAATAGTTTTCAGCTTTTTTCTGTGTTTTATAATTACGACTTTTGTTATTTTTGAATGCAACATTTGCCACCACGACCAGGAATGCCAGTCCCAAGCTTTGAAAGTTTTTTACGCCTCCGGGTGACCAGATGTACCTAAAGTACATCTCTTTTATTTTACTACCGTGATTGGCCTTTGGCAAATCTGAACTTTTGGTAATAACTCTGTGTAGTTGAAACCAAGTGCGAGCGAAAGCAATTGAATTGAATTGCGTGGCGTGTGTAATAAATAGAAAAGCCGTATTTACCAGAATACTTGAGTTCTTCCTTTTGGAATTACACAGTCAACAGTGGAAAGTTTAACGAAACCGGTAGTGTTATTGTTTTTGCTGTAATTGCATAGGTGTTTGATTTGCAACTTAAACAGTTTACTAACAGGTAACAGTGGCATCAACATTGGTTCGCTTTATGATTTATTGCCGTGCAGAATTTAAAAGTGAGCTTGTGGCAAAGCCTGTTGTGAGGTCTAGTGACGTGCAACGGTAGTAAGAGTGGGGACACTCGTGCTCGCTCACCAAGTCGCAAACGATATAGTAATTGTTGACGTGTCGCTTTGGACTAATTCTCATTGTTAAACATCGGAAGAAATCTGTAGTCTTCGTAGCTATCACGTCTAGTATTAAAATGCTTCCAACCACAGCAACCCGACTAAATTCATTCTAGGCATACCTTCTCATGCCACGCAATTACTGAGACGTTTACATGACAATAAATGACATGCGTTGCGCAGAACGTACTGCTTAAATTCAGGGCATTGGTTTCGTAGTTATCCCTGTTCGCATATCGCCCATTTTTATCAGCCAATCATTTGAGATTTTTATTGCGAAAATTTGAATACGGGGAATAGCTTGCCGGGCCACTCAGCAAAGCTCAGCGGGCCACAGGTTGAGTACCGCTGCTCTAGCGTGAAGTTGCAATTGCGCCTCTCTCGTGTTACACCTGAATTCTTCACAGAAGGTCAACTCAAGGTGAACTTCGGTTCATCGAGTTGTAAAACAGCCTTGCCGAGCTAACGTGCTTTGCTGTTACTGCTTTTGCATATTTCCTTTTTCTGCTTTTCTCATTGGAAAATGATCGACAAATTGATTCACCTCCTTAGCGAGCTCTCATATGGCTTAGAGGCAAAGGATGAGGAAGTCTCCGATGCTCAAAAAGAAGACTTAAAATTCTCACGGGCCATGCGTGAAGCCACGAACAAATTGCTGCTTCAACGGCGAAACCGCATCAACCAAGTAACTAACTCACACCATATGACTGATGACCAAATTAATCAACAGAAGGACGCACCTAAAAGTAAAGTTCCACGGAAATCCATTTGTATTTCACACAAGCCCAACCTCCTTGATTTAAACAGATAACTTGTGCATATTTCTCTCATGTAAAAATTTAAACAAAGTATTTTCTAGCTCCCTTAATTTTTCAATAGTTGTTTTAGGCCCTAAATTATCTTAGTCCTTGATCTCTTTTACGCGGAAAACTAAATTTTTTAACTTAATTTTAATCTTATTTTGTTCATCTTCTTCATCATCAATATGGCCGGGATATTGCTGTTTTGACGCAATGTTTCCGGCTCTTGACACTTTGGCCCGGAGGGCACATGACGGTAGGTGTCAATGACAAGTGAAAGGAGGCTCGGTAGTGAGAAGAGGGGGTGACTGCAAGACGTCACAAGTGTAGAGAGACATGCAGGCGAAGCCTAAGACCAGGAGAGGCGATGGCAGGGTGAAAATCTGACTTGTTCTGTTGTTCGTGATAGGTATATGGCATAATAAAAAATAACACAAATTACATTACAATTTATTAGATTAATACAAATACATGAGAATATACATCGAAAATGAATACATGAAATTACATACAACTAAATAAGGTTTATATACATATATACAGCGACGTGCACTCGTGATAAAGTTACGTAGGAAAGTTCGAGTCTCGGGTGAGGAAGGCCGTGAGTGGTCTGATGCGGGAGTCCTCTGCAAAGATCTGATAGTCAAACACTTTGAAGTGTTGCATATGAGAACATTTTCTCGCCTTTTCAAAAAACTTTCTATTCGCCTTATGAAGGAATTCTTCAACTCTGTCAATAAGGGTCCCTGTGCAAGGTCTCATTTGAAACATAGTGCGCATTTGTAATTACTCTAAGTAAGCTTGTTGACTTGCAGTTTCATGTCTTCTGAGTGTAGGTAGCCCAAGCGGGAGAAGTGTAACAGAAAATTGGTCTGATTACTGCCGTATAGATGTGTCTCTTTCTTCTAAGATTTAATCTGGAGTTTTTACCTATTAGTGGGAGGAGATTTTTGATTGTATAAGAGGTCTTCCATTTAATAATGTGAATGTGATCTTTTCAGGTGAATCTGTGGTTTAAGAACACCCCAAGGTATGTAGCCTTCTTAACTAATGGAACTTCTTAGTTAAAGATTTTAATGTTCCTGCCAATAGGGATTCTTGAGTGTTTTTTGCCAATGATAATCAGCTGTGATTTTTAGCCGTTAATCGCAATTCACCATTTTGTACACCATTCCTCAATGGCTGGCATTTTCCCTCGAAGTTTTACTAATGCATGTTCTTGACTATGTGAATTCACGGCAAGGGCTGTGTCATCAGCATAGCATCCGCGGTAAGTATTGAGGTGTGCACTAGTATTGGGTAATTCGTAAACATAAAACAAATATAAGATTGGGCAAAGAATAGATCCTTGTGCTACTCGGGCCTTCAGATATTTTGTCTCGGAGTGTTCATTACCAAAATTTACAAAAAACTTGCGGTTCCGTATGAAGGAGTTGATTAGTAAAATAAGATCTCTACTGAAGTCAAGTGCAATGAGCTTGAGAATGAGCCCCTCATGCCAGACGCGGTCGAAAGCTTTCGCCACGTCTAGCATGAGTAAGGCAACACTTTGATGTCTGAACAGAGCAGATCCAATGAATTCGCAGAGGCGAACAAGTTGTTTAGTCGTGGAGAGATTTTTACGGAAGCCAAATTGTTCCAATGGGAGCTTATCCATATGCGGTTCAATTCTTTTGTAGATGACCCGTTCAAATATTTTTCCTAGTCCTGGTAGTAGACTAATCGGTCGATATCCCTCCGGTTTGGTGACATCTTTTCCCCGCTTTGGCAGAAGAATGACTTTCGCCTTTTTCCATTTTTCTGGAAAGTAGTTGTTTTCCAGGCTGGCATTAAGAATGCTGACATATTTTGTGACAGTATCAATAGGCATATTCTTAATTGCGACGTTCGTAATTTCATCATAAAACAGGGGATTTCCGGTTTTTCATCTTTCTTGATAATATTCCTAACCTCCGTAGGTGATGTATATTCTGTGCGGTTTTTGGCCCCCGGGTCCTTCCAACCCAGTCTTTGATGAACTGCCGTGTATTGTAAGAGAAAAAGTGGATCACAAGGGCCTTGATTTCGGTACGAAAACTGTTTTTCTAAATGCTCAGCCATGAGGGCGGCCTTATCTTTGTAACTGAGCGCAATTCTGCTGTGGTTATAAATAGGTTTGTTGCAGGGGGGCTTGCGTCTAAGATTTCTCGCAAAAGACCAGAAAGCATTTCCAGATTCATTAAAGCTCTCTATTTTATTGTTCCAAGCCTCGTCCCGATGTTTTCGAATCTTGCTTCTGATTTTATTATTTAGTCTGTTTAATTCCTTCTTGACCCCTGGGTCCCAAGAGATATGCCACCTCTTTCTCAATCTGTTCCTCTGTTTAATCATATCTCTAATTTCTCTAGGTAATCTGAAATTGTCTTTATCTACTGGGATTTTCTTGGTAGCAGTGTTGTATGCGCCGAGGATACTATTGTTAAGAATTTCAATCGCATTTTCTATGTCATCTTTGTTCCTAAGAGAGCTGATAATTGGGGGTTCTCTAACAATTGGTTGTAATATTGCTGCCAGTCAGTGACTCTTTTAAACTTGTTGTCGTCGCATCTGTTGGTACCTAAAATAGCTATTACAGGCACATGGTCTGAGGTTAATTCGACTTTAACATCTAAATACATTGGTATGGAGGTATTCGTGAGTACAATGTCTAAAATGTCTCCTCTTCTAGGATTATCCGGGAGGTAGGTATAGTCAGTGGGTGCATAAAAGTAAATAGGATAGTTATTTATGAATTCAAGCAGGACTTCAAGCAGGACTGCGTTGTTGGTTCTTCGACAACCCCATTCTGTATTTTTCGAGTTCAGATCTCCAGCCAGGATAATGTGTTTATTATTTGGGAGAAGTTCTGCGAGCTTGTCTATGTCAAGAAGATTATTCGGAGGATTATAAAGTGCAATAAAAGTAGACAACTCCATAGTATGGAAGTAGGACAGATGCTGTAACTGCCTCGTAACCATTATCGCGTTCTTCACTGATGAGGCAGGATTGCAGGGAGCTTTTCACATAAATCGCGACCCCCCCACCTCTATGACTCAATCGGTCACATCTGTAACACCTATAGTTTGCGATATTCATATTGTAACAGGGAGTCGCAAACGTTTCTGTGATGAGTGCAACGTCAATATCATACACTAGTAGAAAGTTATGTAGTTCCGTAATTTATTCTGGACGCTATGCGCGTTCCAGGTCATGAACTGAATAGGGGCCTATCATTCCTGTGTTGGCCCATAATCTAATGTCTGTGTTTTTGTAGCTTCCGGATTGGTTTGAATAGTCTGTTTGGTTTGTTGTGTTAGTTGCAAGAAGCCAGCGCCTTTAATGATTTTTACTAGTTCTGCTAGATTAGCAAAAACTGTTTTTGCTTCATTGATTGTTTCAGAATAGAGTCCTGATGATATGGCCTGTGCATAACTTTTACCTTCTATGATACGGTTTAAGTATGTTTTGTTTTTGGCAGTATTATTTGTGCTGGTATTGTTCTTGGGATATTTTTCACAACCCTTAAAGCTAGATGTGTGAGGTCCTCCGCAGTTCGCACAGACTAGGGGCTTATCAGGAATTTTTCTGTCAGGGCATTCTTTTATTGAATGGCCTCCGCCACATCGGACACATTTCGGAGCATAATTGCATCCGGCTTGGGTATGATTGAAGTCCTGACAGCGAAAACACTGTATGGGCCCCTGTCTGCCTTTGTATTCAACTACTTTGATTTTCATATCACAGAGTTTATATTCATTATAAATTCGTTTCGAGTCGTCATTCTTTGGTAATGTTACAAGAAACAACGGGAGTGGGATGACTTCCCCGCCTCGTCGTCTTGACATTTAGTTGATTTCAATAATTTTGTAATTTAATTCCTCTAATTCGGTTTGTATTTCCTCATCTGAAGTAGTGGTGAGTCCATTTATTACCACTTTTAAGTTTTTATCTTGAGGCAATATATATATGAGTGGTGCTCGACTCTGAGCTCTTTGAGTACTTTGACCATGCCTATATAGCTTTCAGCGTCTCTTGCAATGACTTCAGTCCATGACCATCAGTCCTCAAATTTTGTCCGATAAATTTTGTCCAATGACCATCAGTCCATACATTTTGTCCGATAAATGAGAATTTTTTGGTATGAAATACTTTTTTAATATTTCTCCAAGTCATGACATTTTCTTTAAGAATTAATGGTGGAAGTTTTCTTTGTGTGTTGCTCTCTGAATTTTGTGTATTACCTTCTACGCGTTCATTATTTGTTATCATCTGATTATTTGAGTTCTCATGATTTTCTGTTTCGCATATGTTGGTATCCATGTTGTTATCAGTTTCATTTTCCTGATTAGATTCTGAATATGTTTGCACACCATTGTTTAACTCTTGATCATTTGTGCTATTGCTAGCTTGATTAGCCACAACGATCGGTGAGATTATTTGTGTGTGCGTACTGAGTTTTACTTTTTTAGCATTTGGTTTGTGGATTTTTGTTCTTATTGTTTGGTCGCCACTGCGGCGCTTAAAGGGTTCTTTGTCAGAACTCGTGTCTTGATCTAGTGTTTTTTCTTCAGTACTGGTAGTGGGATCGTCATGTCTGGCCCTGCTGTTTTCATCATAGTTTTTATTTGTGCTAGATGCAGGTGTGTTATCATTGACATCATTACTTTGTTCTTTTACAGTATTCACAATTTCAAGGGAGCTGAGCAAAAAATTGTAAAATGTTTTTTCAATATCAGATAATTTCCCTACATTTTTGTCTCTGATTTTATCTAACTCCTTAAGCTGATTTGTGTAAATTTCCACAAGCCTCTCCATGGTCCGCTACGCAGAAATTAAACGCAACAAAATAAAAAAATAAAATAAAAAAAAAAAAAATACAGCGCCCAAAAAAATGGAGTCCTGCACCCCGGAATGGAGCCCTGGCTCGATAGCCTTCTCCACAGACGGATGTGCAGGCGAAAAACACACGAGGCCCCTGACAGTCACCTGAAGCGAAAGCTTGGGGGTAACTACGTGTGTTATCCAATCCAATAATCCAAAGTCTAACGCGCAAAATACTTTTAATTTTATCCAATTAATTATTCAAAACGCACAGTTAAGCTTAATAAGTTGCAAAATGGCAGTATTAGTCGCAATACCACCAATCAGGCAATTTGGCAAAACACGTCGTAATGCAAAATAAAAATTTGCGAAATAATCCAAAAATAATTTAAAATAATAAAATAGTGAAAGCATAAAAGCATTTCACAGGTAATTCTAACCGCAAAATAGCACTGAAAAATGCTGATGCAATCAGATTCGTATGAGCACGTGGTCGCTCAGGCAAACCACACGAGACGGACGTACTTGCTAACAGGATCTGAGAGGCAGGCACAATCTCGACGGCGAACCTTCATCCACCAAGTCCCCGCTCCGGAGATATGAAAAATTTTGATTTTGTTCAATAATATCAGCTAAGTTATGCAGTCTTACTAGTCCTCGCCCCTCCACCAATGCCTGATTTGCTAGGAATTTGTGCTTACTTTACAGGTTGCTGATTGGACGATGCACTTTCTGAATTGATTAGCTCCACCCCTGGGACTTCTGAGGTAGTATTTAGACTTCTGAGGCACCAACGGACCCTACTGAAGTTATGGTTTTCGTAGATAAATTGAAACCTAACAAGGCACCTGGCATAGATTCTATTTCGAATCGCATGATCAAAAACTTCCCCCCAATGTTTATCATCTGGATCACGGTACTTATAAATTTAATGCTCAGGAGAAGCTACTTCCCTGACTGTTGGAAAATTGTAGCAGTCGTCCCCATTTCAAAACTGGGACAAAATTTAAACTTACCCATCAATTACAGACCCATAAGTCTGTTAACCTCTCTCTCAAAGATCTATGAGTTTGTCTTACTTAATCGCCTGAATGAATTCTGTCGGGATCAACATTTATTAATTCCGGAACAATTCGACTTCCGACCTGACACTCCACAGTACACCAGTTACTACGTGTAGTGGAATTCATTCATGAAGGCTTTCGTACGCGAGATAAAAGTGGTATTGTCTATTTAGACGTTGCCAAAGCCTTTGACAGGACTTGGCATGACGGAATTATATACAAGTTCATGCGGCTTGGTTTTTCGGCTCATCTCATTAAAATTATTAACTCGTACTTGACCGGACGCAGTTTCCGCGTGCGAGTTAACCACGAATTCTCCTCTCCCCGCCCAATCTATGCCGGCGTAGCTCAAGGTAGTCTCCTTGGACCTTCAATCTTTATGTAAATGATATTCCTATGGCCCCAAATATCGATCTTGCATTATACGCAGACGATACAGCCATCATTTCACAACATTCCAACATCCTCCAGGTAATCTCCCAATTGCAGAGTTACCTTTCGGCCTTAGAATTCTGGCTCGGTCTGAATAAAATCAAAATTAATGTCGCAATATGCTGCCACTATGTTCATCCGAAGAAATATCCCAAGTTTATGTAATTTAATTCTCTTCGGTGAACTCATTCCCTGGGTTTCTTCTTATAAATATCTAGGTGTTTTACTAGATTCAAAGTTAACTTGGCAGCCTCACATTCGCAAAATCATAGCGAGTGCAACAGCTGTCATAACCAACCTAAGCTCCTTTTTTGCTATAAATAGCGACCTGTCACTTGATAACAAAATCCTGCTCTACAAATCTATGATAAGGCCTGTTCTTACGTATGCGTGTCTCATCTGGGGCCCATCTGCACTGACTAACAGAAAACATGTTCAAATTTTTCAATCCAAATTACTTCGGCAAATACTAAAAGCTCCGTGGTTTGTAAGGAACGAAGAGATTCATAACGACCTCAAAATTATGCCCATTAATTGCTTTATACAGCGACTTTCTGAAAAATGTTTCAAAAATATTCAACATGTTGCTCATCCTGTGCTTCATATGCTACCCGTATATGAACCTGCTGTTGCTTCTTCCCGGAAAAGACCCCGACCGATTCTTAACCCGGAATACTCAGCTTTCCCATTTAAACGGGCTAGGTATGAGCCCACAGACGGCTGAATAACTACCTCTCGTTCCTTAATCCCCCCGCCTCTAAAGTTCTTTAATGCACACAGCATTAACCTGAGGAACCCGCTTTAACGTTTCTTTAATAAGAAACATCACAGCCTAAAAGGACTGAATTAAATTATTTTCTATAACTTTTCTGAAAAGCCTTTAACTGATAAAGATTTCTAAATACAGCTCTTTTCTTCCTTTAAGAAGGAACTCTTTCAGGCGTTTAACAACGTCATTTTCGGCCTTTTAAATACCGCATTGAATAGCGGTCAAAAACGAAACTTCTCCCTCCCAGCTGATCACTGGCAGAACTACTTTTTCGACCTGTAACCAGGTCCCCCCTCTCCCTCCCACCCCTGAAGAACGCGCATCGGAAACGATCTTTTGATCTCTCCCCTGCGTATTCTTCGCTTCTGACGTATGCAAAACACGATTATCAAGGTTCAAGGAAACTTCACCTTTTATTTATCTGGTCAAAATTTTATGATGACTGCCCCTATCTAAATTATTCTGGCCCTTTTTCGGCACAAAATTAAGACCTTCTGAGTTTTTTGCCTTTTTTTTTTTTGTCTCAGTGTGAAGGCACTTATTCCAAGTCATTCGGCTTCTCAAAATTTTTACCCTATTAGACAATCCCCTCTTTTTGATGATCTAAATTCCTATGATGATGTGTAGGTAAAGGCGTAATTGCCTATGAACTCCGTAAATTGCACTTCCTTGATCCTTGCTGTGCACTGGTGGTTGCCATAGTGTTGATTGTTGCAAACGGACTTTGTTTGCAGAGTAGCTCCTATGTTTATATGCGAAGACTTATTCATCGGCTGAAATGAGATCTTTACCCTTAGCTCGGTTTTTCAAATACGTCATGTTTATAATAAGTTATGTGAGATTCCTACGCAATTAAATTCAGGATGAGGATTATGCTCAGGAGCCTGCCAAA